CCTCTTTATTTATTCCTGTTTTCCATTTATACACCTCGATCATATCACCCCTAATTCTATGCCTTTCGAGAGAGTGCAGATTCGGGGCCCTCAGTCTATCCTCATATGGAAGATTTCTGATACATGGGATCATCTTTGTCATCCTCCTCTGTGCGTTTTCTAGAGCATTTATATCCATTCTGTAATATGGTGACCAGAACTGAGCAGCATAGTCTAAATGAGGCCTAACCATGGATATATAGAGTTGAAGAACAACCTCAGGACTTCTATTATTTATACTTCAAGATATGAAGCCAAGAATTCTGTTAGCTTTTTTGCGAACACTAATGCACTGTTGTCTTGGTTTTAGATTACTGCTAACCAGAACTCCTAAATCCTTTTTGCAATCAGTAGTATTAAGATCTACATTATTTAGTTTATATGTGGCATGGTTATTTAACTGTCCAACATTTAGAACTTTGCATTTGTCAATATTGAACTACATCTGCCACTTCTTCGACCATTGCATCAGTCTATTCAAATCATCGTGGAGTGCTCTAGTATCCTCATTAGAATGAATTGGACGGCCTATTTTGGTGTCATCAGCAAATTTGCTTATGTCACTATTTATTCCCTCATCTATGTCGTTTATCTAAACTGTGAACAACAACGGGCCCAACACTGACCCCTGTGGAACATCGCTTGTTACGTGCCCCCATTCTGATTTCTCCCCATTTATGCAAACTCTCTGCTGCCTATTTGTCAGCTATGCCTCTACCCAGGAAAAAGTTTCTCCTCCTGTTCCGTGTGCCTTAAGTTTCCTCAATAGCTCCTGATGTGGAACTCTATCGAAAGCCTTACTGAAGTCCATGTACACAATATCATATTCATTACCATGATCTACCTCCTCAAACACCTTAGTGAAAAAAGTTAGTAAATTCGTAAGACAGGAAAGCCCCTTTGTAAAACCGTGTTGAGATTCATTAGTCAATCTGTGCCTGTCAAGATGGCTACGAATTGCTTCGACAATTATTGATTCCATAAATTTTCCCACTATAGAGGTAAGGCTTATTGGTCTATAGTTCCAAGCCAAGGACCTGTCACCTGCCTTGTAAATAGGTATTACATTTGCCATTTTCCACTTCTCAGGCACTATGTCAGTTTGTAGTGATATGTTAAAAAGTTAGCCAAAGGTATGATAAGTTCCTCTTTACATTCCTTTAACACCCTTGTAAACAGTTCATCAGAAATAACGAAAAAAGGCACAATACCGTTACTGGAACGATACACAAATAACCCGCACATAGAAAAGAGGAGCTTATGACGACGTTTTGGTCCGACTTGGACCGAAACGTCGTCGTAAGCTCCTCTCTTCTATGTGCGGGTTATTTGTGTATAGTTCATCAGAACCGGGGGATTTGTTAAGTTTTAGTTTCTCTATTTGTCTGAGGATCATGTCACTAGTTACCACAATCGTACATAGTTTATTATTATTCTGTTCTACATAATCTATTATTTCAGGAATATCGCTAGTATTTTCCTGGGTGAAAACTGAGAGGAAGTAGGTACTGAGAATTTCTCACATATCCTTATCACTGTCAGTGATCTGACCAGAGTTACACTTAAGTGGGCCTATTTTGTCCCTAATCTTACTTCCATATACCTGAAAGAACCCTTTTGGGTTAGTCTTTGAATCCCTTGCAACCTTAGCCTCATAACCCCTTTTTGCTATTCTTATTCCTTTCTTTATTTCTCTTTCTAATTGAATATAATGATTTCTTAACTGCCCATCCCTCTTTTGAAACGCCTATATATGCCTCTCTTTTGACCAATGAGATGTTTTAATCTATTGTTCATCCATTTGGGATCATTTTTGTTAGATCTAATTTCCCTACTCGAAACAAAAGTTGTCTGGGCAGCTGGAACTATGCAACCAAGATCACCTACCTGACCCATAGTCAGGACATCCCAATTTAGCCCTTCCAGGTAATTTTTCAGTCCCATGAAGTCGGCCAAGAGAAAATCTGGGACAGAGATTTGATTGCAGTTATCTGGGTAATTCCATGATATATTGAAACTAAGTGATTTGTGATCACTTTTCCCAAGCTCATCATTAACCTCAAGATTATTAATTAGTGAATCATTGTTGGCAAGAATCAAGTCAAGCAGATTGTTTCCTCTAGTTGGTTCTGTCACAACCTGTTCTAAAAAGCAATTCTGAACCGTATCAAGAAAGTCACTAGACTCCAGATTTCCTGTCATATTGTTCCAATCAATTTGTCTAAAGTTAAAATCTCCCATTATCACAACATTTTCATATCTAGATGCCTTATGAATTTCGTCCCATAACAGCTTCCTGCACTCCCTATCAAGGTTTGGGGGCCTATAAATCACAACCAAAATTAATTTGTCACGACCCTCGAGAAACTGTAGCCAGATTCTGTGTTCCATGTTTATAATCTTATATCATGTCTAAGACAACAATTTAAATTTTCTCTGACATACATAGCCACTCCACCACCCTTCCTGTTGACCATATCAGTGTGGAATAGATTATAACCCTGTATGTTGCATTCAGACGGCATTTCACTATCTTTCAGGTCGAACCAGGTCTCTGTTATACCAATAATATCTGTATTACCTACACTTGCAAGTAATCTTAGCTCATCTATCTCATTTCTTAGACTCCTACTATTTGCATAGTAAACCTTAAGGGAGCTAGTCACTCGTTGCCCTCTACTATCTCTCTTTGTTTGTTCATCAATTGATTTGCCATTACTAGCAACTTTATTTTGAATATTGTCTTTTAAACATATCCCTGAGGTATCCCGGTAATAACTACTGTTTTTAACCCTAATACTGCAGCCTGATTGTTTCCCACAAACGCCCATACCTCTATAATCTTTCAGTTTAAATTCCTAGACAAGTCATCAATTACCCTCTCAATCGAATTGGCTAATGCAACCAATCAATCCCTATTGAGATGAATCCCATCCCTTGCATACATATCATGTTTGCCATAGAATAGGTCCCAGTTATCAATGAATGGGATTGCAAGTTCCTTGTAGTACCTGTATAGCCAGCAATTTATACCAGTTGCCCTAGACATCCATTCATTGCCCACTCACTTTCTAGGCAAGATGCTACATATGACTGGGATCCCTTCCTTAGACATAACTACTTCGGGGCTCTGGTGGCCTGGTGGTTAACGCTCTCGCTTCACACGGTGAGGGCCTGGGTTCGATTCCCAGCCAGAGTAGAAACATTGGACGTGTTTCTTTCCACCTGTTGTCTATGTTCCCCATCAGTAAAATGGGTACCTGGGTGTTAGTCGACTGGTGTGGGTCGCATCCTGGGACACTGACCTAAGGAGGCCTGGTCACAGACCGGGCCGCGGGGGCGTTGACCCCCGGAACTCTCTCCAGATAAACTTCTATGGCTGACCTGTGCTTATCCAGCAGCTCCTGTCTCCTGCCCTTCCCAATGTCATTACCCCCATCACTAAGACGGATAATGGGCTTGTTCCCATTGCCTGCCATAATATTATCCAACCTGCTGACTATGTCACCAACACCAGCTCCAGGAAGGCACACCCTCTGACCTTTCTGTCTCTGTTACGAAAAGGACGGCCCATGTATCTTCCCTGAGAATCTCCTACTATTAAAATATTCTTACTTTGGTTGAAGTTTAACAGAAGTGATATGGAATAGGAGGTGCGGTTTGTGTGGGGTTTTACCCTTTTATTAGAACTCCCAGTGCCTGCTCGCACTAAAGGAGAGTTCATTCGTTCTTCGTGTGAGCGTGTTCAAGTGCATGCTATACGGTTGGAAAAGAATGTATGTCGGTTAGTGGTGAGCAGGTTGAGTTTTACACGTGCAAAGTTTGGTCCACCATAAGGTGGGTGGCAACGTACGGTGTACCGAAGGAGAAATGTTGTAGGTTGGATGATGTTAATTTATCTTGTAAATTAATGCCCAGGTCTCCGTGGGTACCGGAGACATGAGTGCTTTATGAAATCATAGGGTGTGTCAGACGTAGAAGACTTAGGTAGCTTATGTATAATATTAGATGAAGTCAGCGAATGCTGCATGGGACAGCAAAAACGGTAGGTTAGATTCCCATTGTAAATAAATTCGTGAATGCTTTCATTGGACCATAGGGTTTTGTTTATAATATAAAGGAAAAGTCCAACATCTCTTGTGGTTTTGGCATATAAAACGGCGAGGGGATGACCTGAAATGTGGTGGTAGCAGGGAGGGGGAGGGTGGAACAGCATACTTGTTATCATGTTGTGACAAACTTTAGTATTATGTATGGTGAAGCTTTGGTTTTCCCCTATGTTGGGCATATGATTGAGATGTTCAGGCTGTGTTGGGGCTCTAGGGTGAAACGTATGCAGTTTTATGTACACTGTGTAGAAAGGGGGAAAGATCTGGTATAGGTCACCATTGACATTTTGTCAGGTTTTGTGTTTTGTCATATGTATCTATCTTGTATGTAAAGCGTGTAAACGTAGGTTTAAATATTCGAGGCGTTTGCCTCTTTTGTTTTATAATTATTCATAAAGTATTGTATGGAGAGATGGGGGGGGGCAACGTATGTGCTTGTATTCCTTGTTGTGTGACAGACTTGTATTTTAGGTATATTGGGGAATATATGATATCTCTGATGTGTCGACACATGCTGTGTCGTTAGGGTGTAGCTAGTAGGAGGGGGAATCATGTTCAGTTATTCTGTAAGTGTTTGTAATAGGATTAGAGATGTAGGAAGAGTCCGTATATGTCACTATACGGCATTATGTCACGTTTAATGGTTTTAACATATACATGTATCTTGGATGTACTGTTTTAAATAAATAAATAAAAAAACTTAGCCTTAATACAGCTCTATGGTCTGCATATATATATATATAGGTGTGTGAGTGTTTGTGTGTGGTTACCAGTGAATGACAGACACACTCACAGATAACTCACAGGTGTTGATACATTCATCTGTAACTCACAATTAATGGTACGCTTCAGGTGAGAGCAACGTGAAGTACCTGTTCGTGCAGCGTGTGCTGAGGTGGGGACACACTCAGTACAGCCACTGGGGAACCTTTTCTTCACTCTTCAGTGTCTGTGGTAAGTTGCTTCACACTCTCCTCAAGGTATAGTTACACTCTCACAATAGGGGTAGTACCACACTCACTCTCACACTAGGGGTAGTACCACATTCACTCTCACAATAGGGGTAGTACCACACTCACTCTCACACTAGGGGTAGTACCACATTCACTCTCACAATAGGGGTAGTACCACACTCACTCTCACACTAGGGGTAGTACCACATTCACTCTCACACTAGGGGTAGTACCACACTTACTCTCACACTCGGGGTAGTACCACACTCACTCTCACACTAGGGATAGTACCACACTCACTCTCACACTAGGGGTAGTACCACATTCACTCTCACAATAGGGGTAGTACCACACTCACTCTCACACTAGGGGTAGTACCACATTCACTCTCACAATAGGGGTAGTACCACACTCACTCTCACACTAGGGGTAGTACCACATTCACTCTCACACTAGGGGTAGTACCACACTCACTCTTACTGCCTCCCAGCATACATAAGGGGGATTACCAATAGACCCTTGGCTGTCTTCAAGAAGGCGCTGCACAGGCACCTAAATTCAGTACCTGATCAGCCTGGTTGTAGTTCGTATGTCGGTTTACGCTCAGCCAGCAGTAACAGCTTGTTTGATCAGGCCCTTATCCTCCACGAGGCCTGGCCTCAGACCGGGTCTCGGGGGCGTTGACCCGGAACCCTGTCCAGGGATACTTCAGGAGTAGTACCACACTCACTCTCACACTTGAAGAATACTTCACACTCTCCCGCTCGGGGCAGTACCTCACGCTCTCACATTAGGCGAGTACATCACACTCTCACGCTGGGGTAGTACTATCCCTACACCAGGAATGCTATAATCCCTACACCAGGGATAGTAGAGAATACTCACACTCTTGGAATAATGCCTCACACTCTCACATTGAAGGTAATACTTCACACTCTCACACTTGGGTTGCACCTCACATGTGACATATTTCTAATATTGTAAAAGTTTCTTAACTCTTTGAAAGTGTTTAGATGAATTGTAAGGAATGTCTTTTTTTTCTTAAAATTGTAAAACAGACGATGATTTACAGTGATGGTGGTGGTTGTTCCTCTGCTGAGTATGGTGATGGCAGTGGCTGACGGCTGGATAGGTGTAATGGGAGGCGTCTCCAAAATATGTGGAAGTGTCTTATACGGCCTGGTGACCTCACCTAGCCTGGCCTGGCTCATGTGGACTGGTCAGTAGTTACCTTGAACATGTGGGTGTCTTGCTTCCGTGTCAAGTGGTCCTTCACTCTCTCAGATGAAACTGTTTATCCTGGTCTCTCCTGGTGACAAATCCAACCTTTGTGTAACTTCTCCATTCCGCAGAGTAGTTTTCTATGTCGTGACATCCAGGTAGAAGGATGGATGAACGTGCAATTTTATGGTGCTCTTGATCCACGGAATTAAACTTGTTCTCTCCTTCCTTGGATCCAATCTAATTATCTCCCATCCTCCAGAAGATAATTAGCCATATGGCTTTAGCATCACCCTTAATTATAATAACTTGTCAGCCATCTTAGATTTTTCATGTTCCTTAAGGGAGACAAACTGTAACTCGCTGGAGTATCACTTTAAACACCTAAAACAGTTAAATTATATTTTAAAAATTATGCCAAAAAAGTCTATGATCACCAGAAAAACTGGGTATGTGAACCAGACTATGATCATGTTATTACCTGTGTTTACAGATGTTGATCTTATTATTGTCCTTAGTCACCTCTTAACCACCATTTTACTTGTGTAGTTCTTTTCTAACCACTCGTGTTACATCGTATCTAATCGTGAAACTATGTATAAAGTCTGTGGTTCTTTCTCACCTAGTCCATACTCACTGCTTCACTCCCTGTAGTAAACTTACGCTTATGTTCCTTTCTTATACTTCCTTTTAAGTCATTCTCTGGATGGCTTCTCAATACAACGTAGCATCTTGCGAGTTTAATATGCACATTCTGAGTTGTGAATGTGAGGGGTTAAGTTTCAGCTCCTGGTCCTGCTTCACAACATGCAACAGATGATTTTATAATAATAATAATAATAATAATAATAATAATAATAATAATAATAATAATAACAATGTCTTTATTTACTACAAGTACAAGTACAAGGTACAGTCCTAGCTGACATTGATTTACCATGATTTACCATTGCCAGTTCCTACTATCATTAAACTTATTAAACTTTGCATTGTTGATGCAAAATTTGTATTTAATGATAAGTTTTACACTCAGAAGTTTGGTATGGCAATGGGAAATCCTCTTTCACCTGTTCTTAGTAACCTATACATGGAATTTTTTGAAACAAGGTTGCTTAACACAATCCTCCCTAATAGAGCTAAATGGTTCAGATATGTTGATGATATTTTGTGTCCTATGC